CGCGAAGATCTTTCCTGTATGGGAATGTTAAACCATCCACATGGAATATGTTATAATCACGATCGAAGAAATAAGTCTCGTTTTCACCGTCTATCAACATCATATATCTGTAAAACAAAATCATAGATAGAATTATAATTCGAAACTGTTGTTCTAAGTAATATTGAACATAAAAGAAATAAAAACAGTGAGTATAAGTTTATGTATGTACCTAGTTCCATCTGCTTTCCAAGAGACTCTGTATGGCTTTGTGTGCAGGCCTTGAATGTTGTGTGTATCCATTGAAACAGGTTGGGATCCGGGAAAATCTTTCCTACAATTCAAATAACATATTAATTTTCGTAAATGCAAAGTATTTAAAAAAAATATTTACGATTTCCATCCGCACATCAATTGCACTTTCTTCTTCAGTTCATGTGCTTTGGGCTGCTCAGTAAATTCATATACTCCTGATATACCGCTCATAAAAACAGCTTCTTTCTGTCCACGTCGTTTATGGTTTTGTGGTTTAGAGGATCCAGAAGATTCTTCTGAATGACTATTATTTGATAACATACTAAAGCTGGCAGGTGAATCCATTTCACCATCTGAAAAATAATATAATAAATAAATTGCATTCATAAATTAATCGTGCATTCTTACCAAAACACCAAGCAGGCATTTCTGGTGGTGGTGGCGCATCTTCTTCATCAGCGAATCTCCTATATAATTCCTTTATATAATCACCCTTGTAAATGCCAGGAGGTCTAGCTTCAGCAAACATCCGTAAAGCAATTTCTAAACTACAATCTAGTTTAGAAACTATATAGGAAACAATCAGAAATCCAGTTCTGTTGAAACCATGTGTGCAATGTACTGCTATACATTCTAACGGATGTTGGCATATAAAATTGTGGACTAAATTTATAAATTCATCTGTTTGTTCCTGTGTTGGAGTCTCTCCATGACCTCGGCATTGCATTTTAATGTATTTACATCTGTTTTGGTCCACTATATTTTTATTGTAAAACCTTGTTGTATTCGTTAAATCAACCCAAATACCAAACTTGATCTGAAGAAGAGAATTATATATCACATCCTTTGAAATAATTCTAAATTAAGTAGCTTACCTTCTTTGCCCGGCAAACATCAAATAACATTTGTGGATAAAACCTATTTTGTGGTAATATTAGTTCATCATAATCAGCAGACAGTGGAGTTTTGAAAGCCATAAATTTATCAATTATTAGCTCAGAAGCTTTCCGGGGACAATTCATCCACCTGTTTGGCACTGGGCCCCCTTTGCCTTGTCTACTCATATTTCTAGGTTAATTTCAATTAAAAATATACTTATATATATATCAATGCTGATTTAAACACATTCTTAATCACAATATTTTCGAGATGTTTGCACACACGCACTTATGTTTACTTTTAGTAGTTAATCACAATAAGGTCATGAATAGTGACGATCAAAGCAAATCACAATCAATGACAGCAGGTGAATGGTTGGGTGACTGCTTTCCACTGCTACCAGCTGGTGATTGAAATCTGAAGTCCACTATATATACATACACAGTGGCTCACCCTTGTACTGCGCATCTTTGGTCACGTGACCCCCACCATCTGACACAACTATGACGTCAAAGTCTTCTGTATTATTGAAATATATATGAATAGAGTAGATTTATTTAAATTTTAAAAACAGAAGATTTATGCTTTTTCATTATATTGTTGATTTTAGTCAAGTTAACGAGACAGCGGTTTGTGTATGCAAATTAATTTTTCAAAATTTTCTCCATGTGATGCTATGCGCAGTAGAGTACCAACATAGGAAAATTAAATAGCATTTTAGTAACATATACAGAACCAAAGTTTATAGAAAATCTTTTTTTTACTACTGTCAATATTAGTTCAATAACAAAATAACATGTGGCGCCAGTAGTAAAAATAATTTGATTTTTCTTGGAAAAAGGCTCTTCCAAGAAGGAAGCAGCAAGATGGAGAAAAAGAAATTCTCCTAAAGTCCAGAGAAATTCAAATATTATTAACAAATTAATGAATGAATATAGGTTCAAAATTCTATTTCTTTATGATTTAAGGACAATTGCAGATAACTAAATTATATTGGTTAATGAATGTTGATACAATATACCATTTCATACATTTTTGGTTGATTTATTTCAATGAATGCAAATAATTGCAACAATTAACTTTGAATAATTAGTACATTGATATCATGAAGCATTGTTTTAGTTTGAGCTTAGTGAACAGAACAACAGATGTAGCCATCTATTTTTATATTTTATTCAACTTATAAAGACTTAAGATACAAGTAAGGTACATGTTTCTCATGATGCATAATGTAATGCCATTAAGTCGCTCTATTTTCATCATCTTTGGCAAATTACGTGCATACATTTACAAAATATTAGAAAAAACAACAGCGAAAGACTAGAGCATTGTTTGCAATATTTGTTTATTTAAGGCAATGTTATGTTTACATGTTACAATTGGTAGATTTTATTTCTTTATCGATCATTAACGTGCATAAATATGTGTATAAAGTTCAACAAATCTAGTACAACAAAGAATATAATAATCAAAATGAAAAATTGACTTGAAATATTAATTATAGAATATGTGATTGTCATAGTAAATGTGTTTCTTGGTTTTGTCCAGAGAGATGCACACAATTCTTCTGGTTTTGGTTTGTCTTTCAGTATTCTCAATTTTCTTGAAGACTTTCAAATTAATTAAAAACCTGATACTTAAATAATAAAGTATTTCAAAAGCGCTGGTGAAACTGCATCCCAGGAACAAACTGAACGTTCCACCAAGTGATGCTGCAAAAAGGACATATCGAATTATATAAATAACACCAAAACAATGATAATAATTACACATTAAATAGATGTTTCCTGTGATAATGTCTCTTTGCAGAATTGTGAATGTTGATACAATATACCATCTTTGGGGGATTTATTTCAGTAAATGTAAATAATTGCAACAATTAACTTTGAATAATTAGTACATAGATATTATGAAGCATTGTTTTAGTTTGGGCTTAGTGAACAGAACAACAGATGTAGTCATCTATTTTTATATTTTATTCAACTTATAAAGACTTAAGATACAAGTAAGGTACAAGTTTCTCATGATGCATAATGTAATGCCATTAAGTCGCTGTATTTTCATCATCTTTGTCAAATTACGTGCATACATTTACAAAATATTAGAAAAAAACAACAGCAAAAGACTAGCATTGTTTGCAATGTTATGTTTACATGTTACAATTGGTAGATTTTATTTCTTTATCGATAATTAACGTGCAAAAATATGTGTATAAAGTTCAACAAATCTAGTACAACAAAAATATAATAATCAAAATGAAAAATTGACTTGAAATATTAATTATAGAATATGTGATTATCATAGTAAATATGTTTCTTGGTTTCGTCCAGAGGAATGCACACAATTCTTCTGGTTTTGGTCTGTCTTCCAGTATTCTCAATTTTCTTAAAAACTTTCAAATTGATTAAAAACCTGATACTTAAATAATAAAGTATTTCAAAAGCGCTGGTGAAACTGCATCCCAGGAACAAACTGAACGTTCCACCAAGTGATGCTGCAAAACGGACATTTCGAATTATATAAATTATAACGAAACAATGACAATAATTACACATTAAATAGATGCTTCCTGTGACAATGTCTCTTTGCAGAATTGTGAAGACGTCATTACTAAAATAAATGTTTATCATTGTAATCTCTGACAGTGTCATGTTTTCTCTGCAAGTATAAACAATTATTATGTTTCTGTAAATGCAATGTGAAATTGAATTATTTACAGAAGAGAAGACGTTGAGTATTGGCTGTGGACCAGATTTGACCCGCTTGAAAGTAATTTATAATTAACATCCAGACACTGGTGTGGACAAAGGCACGATTTGAGAAAAGTCGCTTTAAGGCGCTCTAAAAAAATATATATAATTTTATTAATGCAATTGTAGGAAGTAGATAAAATTTGCTTACTAAATTTCAATAAGCACTTTAAGTGTTCCAGACCGCACAACGGTTCGCCTAAAATTATTAATTTAATTAATCTCATGTGTGACTTACGTTAGAATATACCTGAAAATAGATAATTGAATGGAACGCATTTACATTGTGCAATGTATTCATTAATTTCGCACTCCGTTAGACAATTGTTATCGGAGTACCCATTAAAATATTTAAGTTTAACTTCGTGTTCGTAGACACATTCCCTCTGATCCACCGGCAACATTTGTACCTCTTCGGAATCCTCGATACTAGTGCCTGTTATTTGAAAATACGTAATGTAACTCGATGATATTACTCTGTACTTAGCATTAACCGGATAATCATCGTTATAATGAAGTGCTACCTGCAATGAACGCATGTAAATTGATTGAAAAATCTTGTTTTGTAATGTCGAACAGTTATCCCTTTAGCTCTAATCAAACTGAATTGATCGTCGTCGTTGGAATTGTTTGTAATGACTTTTAACCCCATGTACTGTCCGAAGTATTTAGTATGAATGGGACTTCTGGTTTTCCTGAAACTGAATGTTATACTGTAGAAGAAACAGCATCAATTTTAATACGTTAAATCTGAATTGAAGGAACAGCATCTGCTTTGATCGGTGAACGTTTCAGTAAATAATCTGGAGCAATTGTACTCCCGTTCTTCCCATTTACACTTAACTAACATTTCCTCGCAGCTCATCGAAATCTCTTTAAATGCGTCAAGTTCAGAGTATCCGTTAACGTTTAGTAACTGTTTCAGCCATAAGTAATCACGAGATGTATTTACTTCAGCAAAGTTTGCATTCGTGAATAAAATGAGTATGGGTAAAGCCTCTTTAACATCGTCTTCAGTAGTCACATTGTTTAAATTCCTGAAAGATTACTATGTAAATTCGTGTGTTGTGCGAATCACAGTTATCGTTACAAAGTATGAATGAAATTTTCCATTTTTCGTTTGATAATTTTGTTGTTACTGCAAATTGTAATTGCTGGAAACGGCAGTTCAGAGATTGTCGCGTACATCGTTTTTATGCTGGTCAACGTTGGATTGCTGATGTATCGGATCCAAACAAGGATTGATATGTAGATGGAAAATAACACAGCCGTTGAAACTAGTATAGCCCAAGTAATTCTGAAGAAATTAGAAAATAGATTTGATTTATTTAAACAAATTGTTTACGCCGATTGAAGTACTTGGAAAATTTGGATCTATCGATGGTGTTTTGGAAACCGTGGATGCTGGTATTTCTAGCGAAATCTTCGTATGTACTTTTGATGATTGGTTTCATTTTGATCGAGGACACTACTGAATTACGTTAATTTAGAGCGAAAACAAACAAATATTAAGTTTCGTGTTATGTATGCGTGTTTACCTTATTATCACAATGATCATTAATCATGTTACAACAGTTACATGTAATTTGTGGCTAAATATAAGTTTCATTAATTATTTGTTGTTTGCATCATAGAAACAAATCTATTGATATTTAAATATAACAAATATATATACAATTTTCTCACTAAAGTCATGTAAAACATATTTTCTAGAAGTGTTGTTTATGATTATTTCTAAGAAATTTGAAATATTTTCCCTTTTCAACTCACAGAGCGCTAGACAAGCTTCTCAGAGGGCCACCACAGATTGCGGGAACCGGCGGCATTGACTCTTTCTAAGTAAATGCTAATTTTATTACTTGCTTGCAAAAAGTATTCTGTCCACAGAGGTATTGAACCTTTAACCTTTCGTTATGATAGGTGCCATAATTGGAATTATTCATAATATGAAAATTTCTTTTAATTGACGTTGAATTATCTTTAGTTACATGTTTCACGTTGTAGACAATATATTGAAAGGGGGTCATTATTGAAATCCCGACTATATCAAAATAGTCAGCGTAGTCACCTTGTGCTACACTTTTATTATTAATATCAATAAATTATTATTAATTAATTTGATTTTGTTGAATTATTCATAATTCATAAAGTACTTTGAAGCGGGTCAAATGTGGTCCACAGCCAATACTCAACGTCTTCGCTTCTGTAAACAATTCAATTTTCCATTGCATCTACAGAAACAAAATAATTGTTTATACTTGCAGAGAAAACATGACACTGTCAGAGATTACAATGATAAACATTTATTTTAGTCATTACTAAATCTTCACGATTCTGCAAAGAGACATTGTCACAAGAAGCATCTATTTAATGTGTAATTATTATCAATGTTTCAGTATTATTTATATAATTTGAGATGTCCGTTTTGCAGCATCACTTGGTGGAACGTTCAGTTTGTTCCTGGGATGCAGTTTCACCAGCTCTTTTGAAATACTTTATTATTTAAGTATCAGGTTTTTAATCAATTTGAAAGTCTTCAAGAAAATTTAGAATACTGGAAGACAAACCAAAACCAGAAGAATTGTGTGCATCCCTTTGGACAAAACCAAGAAACATATTTACTATGATAATCACATATTCTATGATTAATATTTCAAGTCAATTTTTCATTTTGATTATTATATTTTTGTTGTACCAGATTTGTTAAACTTTGTGCACGTTGATGATCGATGAAGAAATAAAATCTACCATTTGTAACATGTAAACATAACATTGCCTTTAATAAACAAATATTGCAAATAATGCTAGTCTTTTGCTGTTGTTTTTTCTAAAATTTGGTAAATGTATGCACGTAATTTGCCAAAGATGATGAAAATAGAACGACTTAATGGCATTACATTATGCATCATGAGAAACGTGTACCTTACTTGTATCTTAAGATTTTCAAAGTTAAATAAAATATAAAACTAGATGGTTACATCTGTTGTTCTGTTCACTAAGCCCAAACTAAAACAATGCTTCATAATATCTATGTACTAATTATTCAAAGTTAATTGTTGCATTTATTTATATTCACTGAAATAAATCCACCAAATATGGTATATTGTATCAACATTCATTATTAATGACGTTTTCACAATTCTGCAAAGAGACATTGTCACAGGAAGCATCTATTTAATGTGTAATTATTATCAATGTTTCGGTATTATTTATATGATTCGATATGTCCGTTTTGCAGCATCACTTGGTGGAACGTTTAGTTTGTTCCTGGGATGCAGTTTCACCAGCGCTTTTGAAATACTTTATTATTTAAGTATCAGATTTTTAATCAATTTGAAAGTCTTCAAGAAAATTGAGAATACTGGAAGACAGACCAAAACCAGAAGAATTGTGTGCATCCCTCTAGACAAAACCAAGAAACATATTTACTATGATAATCACATATTCTATAATTAATATTTCAAGTCAATTTTTCATTTTGATTATTATATTCTTTGTTGTACTAGATTTGTTGAACTTTATACACATATTTGTGCACGTTAATGATCGATAAAGTAATCAAATCTACCAATTGTCAAATGTAAACATAACATTGCCTTAATATTGCAAACAATGCTCTAGTCTTTCGCTGATGTTTTTTCTAATATTTTGTAAATGTATGCACGTAATTTGTCAAAGATGATGAAAATCGAGCGACTTAATGGCATTACATTATGCATATTAGATTATTAATCAGACATTTTCGATATAGTCGGGATTATGGTTGTCTGTATTTTAATATAGTCTGGATTATGAATGTTGAGATTTCGATATAGTCGGGAATTTGTTTGACGGTATTTCGGTTGTCGGGCTTACAATTGCCACCAATTGAAAGGACGTAATACAAAGAGGTTACATATTTATTTTATCAAAATAAAATGGAAAAAAACATCTATAAAAAATATATTTTATATAAGAAAGCAAACATTTTTAATTTGATTAAAAGCAAATACATTCGAAAAGATTCACCGTGCTTCACCGTACATAACAAACGCATCCAACTTTTGTTTCAATGAATATGTAGTACTCTTCTCAGTCTCGTCGCATTCTTCTTCTCTAGTTACAATTTCAGCAAATTTCTTCATTAAACATTACATGGCTTCAAATAATTGACTAGTACATACATACATACATACAAAATTAACCAACTATCATGGTAACATAATCGCATATAAAAAATATATTTCAATTATAGACTCGCTTCCTCTAATCATTTATCAATATTTATATCATGGTAACTACATGCCATTGAAAAAAAAAGTAAAAAAAAATGAACATCATTAAGTAATTGAATATTAAGTCGTAAATTGGAAAAGCTAAAATACATATTATGTATATTTTATAATCAATTAAGCATTATTTTAATTAATTAATCCTTATCATATCACATATTCAATCACTCTTTGCACGTTGCTGTCCCTTCTCTTTCCTCTTAATTTCCTTCAGCTGTGCTAGTTTCAGATTCTTCATCAGCTGCGTCGACTGATATAACCATTGACCCTTAAAACAAATAAATAGATTAAATGTGAATTACAAGAAAGCAATAATATAGAAGTTCAATTACCACCATGAGCATGCAGTTCAGTAGAATTGGCATGGAGAATACCACGGATATGAACAAACCATTGCTATCGAAGTATTGCTGCCTGGAAAATATGTGCCAATTGTTGGAAGCTATTTCGTTTATTTTTTCTGAGAAGTACACCAACAGCACTGCAAATAAAACAAGGAATGTGACAAAGTGATTAGATTGTAGGGTTTTCTGAATATTACATAGAAAGAAGAATAGAAGTGCTTGCAGATTTCCATAGTTCCTTGTTAATAGGGCCATCAATGTTATTGTTAAGTGGAAAGAGAATAGTGCTATAATCCAGGGATCTCTCCATTCAATCTGTAACATTTAACTTTTATTACATCTTAGTCTGGGAACAGGTTTAAAATACAATTTAAAAAAAAAATGGTATTGAAGGCTATGGAATTATAAAACCTTTTGTATTTTTGAATGCAGAATTCATTGAATATGTTAATTAGAGTGACATGGAACTTTATAAATAGGTGGCAATACAATTGAACATTTTATTTTGCAAATCAATATATTGATACCTATGTTCAATAGTCGTGCTCGCTCACCCAATTACAACAATGATTCGGAAATGATCAATGCACATTGAAAATGCATGAAATGTATTTAGTTGATGAATTGTAAACACTTACACTCCAGATAAATGAGAGAAATCCATTGATTTGGTTTACTTCAATAAAGTTTTGCTCCATCATATTACGTATATTCGAACGACGAGTTCTTTCTCTAGAATGCGCCAACTTCTATTAAAATCGAATACTTTAATTAATTCACTGTCTGGTATTTGTTGACATTCAGTTCACTTTCAGGTTTGGCCTTAACTTGTTCAACAATCTAGCAAACGTATAGGTTATGGTGCCGTATCGATGACGGCTACCTGCTACACTGTTTGTCCACTACTTTCATTGAACTGCTGCTTATTGAGTTGCCTAATAATCACAAAAATTTGAATTCGTTTCAAAATTATCGGTATTTTGGTCACAATATAAAAGATCTAGAGTGCTCTAATTACAGAACATAAGTTAACATAAATTTAATAATCTCAATCTACATATAATTGACATCAGCTAGGAATAATTAAACTTCACAGAAACAACGATTGTTCTATATTATTACAGATTCTGTTAGCAAATAGGAATTATTTTAAACTTTCTATAACTCGCTTAACGAGTTTAATACGTTCCAAAATTTTCCAAACATATTCAAAAATACACATAATATGTGTAAACAAGCTATAAAAATGGCGCGCAAATCTGGACTTCTCTTCTCATCGTCACTCGTTTTTCTTACAATTCATTATGCTCGTTAAGCGAGGTTCCACTGTATATTTAGAGTACATTTATGGTCATTTTTACCATAAATTATATTATTAATATGATATTAAAGCTAATTAATTAATATTAAAAAAGATAATATAAATTTGATTACTCATTTAATTACATAATAAATTAATTATCAAGAGTGTAATGTAAAATCAACAATCATACTCTAATCAAAATTAAAAAAAATTTATAGCAATCGTTGAAATTTTTATAATTGAAAAATATGTAAATGTACAAGTTATGAATGATTTCCATATTTGCATGTAATTTTGATTCACACTACATCTTAACTATATATTATGTAATAGAGTGTATATATTTATTTCTTTTTATATAAATTATAGAGAAATGCATATTTGTTTGCATGATGTGAAACAATTAAAGATATAAATCAATTAAATCAATTAGAGCGCAATCGTTTGTGCGTAAGTTGTTCGAAACAAATTACTTAATTGCTAATTCCAAGTAACATCAATTCCATTTGTCATCATACAAATTTTTGTAAAGTCATTTTTATAGATGGTTCAAAGAAAGTTTTCTCTACATTTCCACTAGTTATTAGCAAATGCAATGAAATGTCGCAATTTTATATGTGCACTTTACCCAAACGGAATTGCAGCTATTTGCTTCAAAAAAAGGAAGAAGCACATTTAATTTTTTTTTCTAAGAAAATAGAAATCTTTTTTTTGCTTCCTGCTTTACAGGTGTTGCCCTTTGTCTCTATTTAATTGGATTTGTGTTAACATTAATACAGTGGAACCTCGCTTAACGAGTTTAATCCGTTCCAAAATTTCTAGATTTTTACTCGTATAGTGAAACATATTCAAAAATACACATAATATGTGTATACAAGTTTTAAAAATGATGTAGCAGGAGCACAATCAGGTACTCTCTTCTCATCACTCGTTATGCGAAAATTCGCTCGTTAAGCAAGTCATTTTCCTTACAATTAACAAAAAAAATCGGATTTTTACTCGTATAGTGAAAACATATTCAAAAATACACACAATATGTGTACTCAAGTTTCAAAAATGATGTAGCAGACGCGCAATTCGAAACTTCTCTTCTCCTCATCACTCGTTATGCGAAACTTCGCTCAACGAGCATATGCGAGGTGCTCGTTAAGCGATTTATAAAATTTTGTGTATAAAAAACAGTAGCGCTTGATAAATGTACCCGATTTATCGGATTTAATGTGAGATGATAAAGAATATGTAACGGAGGAGGATCACACTATCATGTGCAAAAGAAGGTCAACATAAAATGCACATTATCGTACATCCGCCAAATAATATGAAAAAAAAAAACAGCAGCAGAAACGAGGAGAAATTATTTATTTGTTTTTTTTTTAAATTAGTCGAATAATAACTATTGCATTGTAGACTTTAGATACCTTTATCAGATAAAATATCATGAACTTCGGTAATAGGGCAATATTTATACACGTTCGTTCCATTGTATTTCTGATAATACGTGATTATTGCTTGTTTTTTTTTCTGGGTGCATTTATTATCAACAACGTTATTATATAGTGAATGTAGAGTTATATAATGAATGTAAATCTAACGTAATGAAATAACAAAAAAAAAATAAGCATTAATGTAGGTCTTGTTTACGCAAAATGTAGCTTCAGCTCCAGAGGTTATCGCCGATTAATTATTTTCACTGAAGTCGAAACATCATGGTTAAGGCTTATGTGCTCCTTATCGCCAGATATTACAAAATGCGCGATTATTGATTTCATAAAATGTTTACAGGATTCGTCTACTACAGTATCCTTATTTGTTAATAATTAAATCCACATTGCGGTTTTTGCACAATCAATTAACGTCCGATCTTTCTTCTAACATTGATGATTTTCTATCTAATATGCAATTTATATAAATTGCATTTATATTTGCGTTAGTATTTTATAATATAACTGTATAATTAGTGTGTATTTTTTTTTATGTTGTAGATGAATTCAGAAATAAAAGGTGATCTCAAAGTTCAAGTATTACAAGCAATTTACAGCTCAATAATATATTGGTAGCAGCGGTAATGTTTTGCACTTGCAAATGCAATAATGTGCGGAATAACTGAGAACGGTTCGTCGCACAACGTAAGTCCGTGTTGTTCTTCCCTTAATCATTTATTGTTTTGTGTGTAAGGAAACGTTTGAACTTTACATAAACTGAAGTATCGCGTATTTGCTTGCACGTTTCATCATCATCTTTATCATAATAAGAACAAAAACAAAGCTATTTGTGTGTGTAAACCGAATAATTGAAAGTCCCTCCAGTTATCAGTCGATTATTACATTATCAATAAATAAATCCTTTGTCTTCTATAATCAAAGATTAATTTTGAACTGTGCTTAGAGAGTACATGCATCGTTATGCGTCACCTAGCCACTTGATAAAGAGACCAAATTTTTATAGAAAGGAGTCTGATTTCTGAACTTTGTAACGAACAATGATAATGATGATAATATTCGTTACTATAAGGTTAGACCAAGTCGAAGCTCATTTCATTTGTGGTGGTGCATCCATCTGGTCACATCTACTACAACTACACACATTAGCCTGCACAACTAATTCAAGGTATTTTACTTTAATTAATTATTAATAAAAAAAGTTTAATTTGTAAATTCATTAACTATCAATGAATAAATTATTTAAAAAAAAAAACAAATTGCGGTAATTTTGCTGAGCATTTCAATAAATTATGATTGATTAATTATTGAGTTATTATTATTAAATTTTATTTTCATTGATACATTTTTTCTTCTGCATTTCGTGTACGTGACCAAAATTATTGTTGTTATTTTTAATACAAATCCGATGGGAATGATTTTCGAAAGTTGTCTAATCTTAAGTACTTTTAGATTATCAAAATAAGTCAAATACGGGTTCAAAGTAACTTTCTTTCTAAAATTTTTCACTCTCTTGCATAATCCAATACAAAATTTCGAACACTTGTGATAATGATAATTTTACTGTTCGGTGGAAGAAGTTCTTGTGTTATCGGGTGAAGCGGAGAACAAATAGCCGCTTTATCATTTCGATAAGAAGTACAATTGAAATCGAATACTTTTCTAGATTAATACTGCTTATTATTATTATTAAATATATGCTAAGGTTTCATTCGAACGTTCAGCCGTGTCCACTTCACTCAAACTCTTCTTTTACCTTCCAGATGGCTTCTCCATTTACCATGGATACGTCTGGTTTGACCGACGAGGCGAAAGCCATCGCCGTCAAGGAGCTCAGGGAGACTCCGGAAAACGTAAAGAAGGGAATCGAAGAACTGAGGGAATTGCTCAAGAACGACAATACCATCCATTACAGAGACGACGATGAATTCCTGATGATCTTCTTGAGACCATGCAAGTTCTACGCCCAGAGCGCATACGAATTGGTAAGTTGAATGCATTTTTGTTGATAACCAAAGTTCAATTAGTGCGCGTGTCCTTGTCAATCAAAGCGCAACAATCTTGCAAATTAATTAACTTAAACTTGAATGCGATTTCAAGACAATTATTATTATATGAAAAAAAAAATGACAATTCGTCATGAAACGTGCCCACTTATGTAATCATGTATATTTACTATACAATTTAGAAGTAATCATACTTTTACAAACAGAATATTCGTATTAGATTTGCATACACATTTCTTTTATGATAAGGTAATTGGTTAATTATGCTTAAATTACAATGGATATTGTTATTTATTTACAGATGAAGAGAATCGCGAACTTCAAGGAAACGCACAAGGCGCTCCTCGAAAATCTCTTGCCCGAAGATGAGAAAAACGCCTTTGTCAACCACAACGTTGTCAACGTTTTGACTAACAGGGATCATTTGGGCAGGAGAGTGTTGCTCGTCAATGTTGGATGTAAGCTTTTCATTTTTTTAATTATGTTAACTGTTTGTTTATTAATGAATGATTTAAACTTTTAGCAAGCTGGGATACCTCGAAAGTAACCTCAGATCAGCTGTTCCGCATCTTCTACCTCATTCACGAAGCAGCCATCCTTGAGCCGGAGACCCAGGTTCGTGGTTGCGTCGTCATCATGGACTTCGACGGTCTCTCCATGAAACAAGTCATGGCTATGAGTCCGGCTTTCAGTATGAAGCTGTTGAGCTTCATCCAAGACGCTATGCCACTCAGGCTGAAGGAAGTGCACATGGTGAAGCAGCCGTTCATTTTCAACATGGTCTGGAACATCTTCAAGCCTTTCATCAAGGAGAAGTTGAAGAAGAGGATCTTCTTCCACGGAAGCAAGATGTCTTCTCTGCATAAATACATGCAACCGTCTCATTTACCAAAGAACTACGATGGACAAATGCCCGCCATCAATTACACTGGTGCCGATTGGTATCCGGCCATCGACTCACACATCGAACACATCAAGAACATGAACAGCTACGGTCTTGTTAAGAAGTAATTCACACGCACACACACACATCACATCAATTAGCAAATTAATTTATAAAATAATTATGAAAGCATGTAACTCAACATTTTTTTTTTTTAGTAAAACTAGAAACTAAGTAATAATGTAATATTATAAATATAAAATAATATATGCTCCATCCAAAGACATTCCACTTTATGTACATTATGCAATATTGAAAGGGTTTTTAAAACAATTTTTACATTTATATGTTAATGTTTAATTGAAATATATAATTTTTGATAAATTAGTTTCGTTTTTATTACTCACAAATTGTATCTGTATTATTTTTAAAGCAATAAATTGAAAAAAAAAACTATCAATCAACTCATCAGATATAATCTGTTACACGGTATATTTAATGAAATTCTGATAATTTTGTAAATAATTGAGATACAAATCATTTAAATTGAAATAGACACAAGTAAAATCAGAAAATTAAAATATTCCAAAATGATTAACTTTATAATGAGTGAACCAAGATTAACTCTTGAAAACGAAAATTTATTTTAAAATGTAGAAGAAGTACAAAGACAATACCGGAGAAAGTTTCAGAAAGATCCAACTATTAAAATTAATCGTTTGAAACAAATGGAATTCATTTAGGATGTCCGAAGATCAAGAACATCAACGAGCTTCACCAGCCAAGAAATAGTACTGAAAAGTTATTACGAAATATTCAAAGAAATATGTAAGACAAAGCAGTCGTGAGATTGGCATCAGCAAATCAATTCTCCTACACATTTAAAGACGTTGTAAAAAGAAATGTTACATGATCAGGACCAAAGTAAGCAATTTTGCGAATGGTACTTGATAAAATGTTAACAAAATGCACAGTTTTCGGGGAAGATTGTTTGAAGCGATGAAGTTACATTCTCATACACTTTTTCTTGTGTAGATACCTTAAAGATAAAGACTACATCAGACAAACAATGATACTGGAAGAATTAAAAGTCTCAATTTAGCAAGAATGGCAGAATGATATTGGAAGGAAAAGTTATACATTTTATGTAGATACTTTTGCAATTTAAACATTAATTATATATAAATAAAAACTGAAGATGTAAATTATATGCAAAACGAATTTTGTTATAATTAATTGATATGAATTGATTTATTTGAATGGAGTTACGTAGGAGGTAGACGAGCTCCAAATATAGAAACGCTTTACTACCTCCTCTTATTCATATGAAGGTAAGTTCTTCCGAGCGGTCAATAACAACCTTCCAGTCAAGCGATTCTCAATGAACATATCACAGTGCATGGTGTTTTAACCGCGAAGTTTTCTCTAATTTAGTTTTAGTTATAGTTTGGAATCTAATAGTTTACTTACTGAAATACAAGGTATTGTTATTATTTATTAGAAATAATTACATTTGTAGCTCCATTTGAATATCTTACTCTTATAGCAGAAAACCAGCTCTTTTTTCATATAATAATAAAGTATGTTTAATATTTTTAATTTTAACTTAATTATTACCTTTTATATAAAACTTTGTATAATAATTTTGTATTGTTTATAAATTAATCTTGGTTTTTATATGAACTAATAAACATTTTGTAATTCCAAGAGAGTAAAAGAGCAAGAAGAAAGTAAATTTCAAACCTAAATTGTTGAAATAAGATGAATGCGAGTACAGAATTTCTAAACTTTCTTTTTTTCTTTTAAGGTTAAACAAATCTTTAGATGTTTGAGTATTGTTCCCACGATAGAAAAGAACAAAGTAAATAGATTATATTATTCATAACGTAGATAAATATAGATTTGTTACAACAATGTTTATTTTGTTATCTTTGAATGATGATTGTGAATTATTCGATTTGTGACTATATCTTTAGCTACTTCATTTCTGCCACCTTCTTAGTACTTATTGACTACCACAATACAATGGATTATTATCTATGGAGCTTTGAATCATAATATATTGTTTGTTATTTTATTCTAATGTGCACATAGGGTTGCCTAATAATCTAAATTCACTGTGGCAATCGCCATCGATGCAGTCGGGATTATGGTTGTCGAGATTCTGATACAGTCGGGATTATGGTTGTCGAGATTCTGATACAGTCGGGATTATGGTTGTCGAGATTTTGATACAGTCGGTATTTCGATACAGTAAAATTCAAATATGAACAATGATATACTTAAATGTAATTAGGACATCAAAAGTAACCGGTTAACCGGTAATTTTTTAATTGAAATGTTTTGTGTGATTTTGCAAATGTTTGCAAGCAAAAAAAAAATAACTATAAACATGTAAATTATTTTTTAATATAAAGAAACGATTATCATTTCTTGATGTAATTGCACAAAACGTTTGTAAATTAAATGTTATTACTTAAAATCGTTTAAGTTTTAGTACATTTTAGCGATTGCAAAAGAAAATTTTCTTTCTCTCTCGACACTTGTTGAATTCACTATGAGAAGGTGGAAATTTTGTTTGATTTTTTATTGAAATTACAAATTACCGGTATCTGTTGTATAATTTACCGGTAATTTCGGTAATCATCTGTTAAGAAAATTAAGTTTTGTCCACAATTTCGTCGCAATAATATAATTAGATTTGATGTTGTGTAACAACAACAAAGTAATTGCAAAGAACATTTTTAAATGCAGATATTATTTGTTGCAGCTGCTTTAATGACATATACGAGCATGATGCTCAAAAATCTCAATGAGTGTTATTTGTTTACAAGAATTGAGATAATAAAATATGATTTCTCAATAATTTTGAGTAAAATATCCACATTAAGTATATGACTCAAAACGCAACTATTTCTCATATAATGAAACTACTTAAAACTTTCTAAAAATGTAATAATAGTTTTAATTTGCCTTTCATTCTTCCATAACCACAAATTAAGGTGTAATATGTTGAATTGTCTATCATTTTAATGAATATTCTAACTCATTGTTATGGTTTATTTAACATTATTTGACCTAGATCTGGTTTAAAATGCATTTGAAATCACAATTTTTAATAGCAATAAGAACATTATATTATTTAGAACAATATTGAGTAATATACGTTTGAATGTTAATTTTCTATATTTTTTTATATAATATTATAGTCTATATATTGTTATTATCATAAGATATATAAAAATAAATTTACTTTTATCACCAGGGCGTTTTTTTTATTATTTATAAGTATGTTATTCTCATGTAGGAAAAACTTTCTACTCAGGAAATAAAATCGATTATAGTAGTTTTAATTGACGGAGAAAGTGAATGTTATGAATCACATAATCTGCAGATGTGAGCATTTCCGTTGGAGCATCTATCAGATGTGTCATTCATCTATTATTTATTTTTTGTTGATTATATAAAATTCAATGATATTTTACATACAGTTCTTGTAGATTTGTTTCTATAAATTGAAATATTCATGTAGCATAATTTCATGCAATTTTGCTAAATGATAACCTTCCACTTAACCCCAATAAGAAAATAATGCACATTTCCTGCGCAACAGAAATCGATGAATCTCGTCAAGAAGGAAAATGGGGGGAGAAGCTCGATGTATTTTTTGGGCAAATCTCACGTGAAACTGCAGAACAATTGTTATTATGCAATGTTAGGATTATAGTTAAATGTACGTAGCTCAATATTTGCTGTTGTTACTCTGCACACAATAGCGTTCAATATTATCCTCATTTCAATACGATTTGAATCTGATGTGTGTATTCGTTTCGACCTCGTACGAAACGGTGATTAAGATTGCTTAGGTTTTTCCTGTTTCTTCCGCACTAAAGTACCTGCGTGCAGAGGCAGATATAAGTAGGGAAGTGATGTAGTGTGTGCTGTGCATTGTCACTGTAAAGTGCGTCTAACTAAGCTGATCGTGGGCTTATTGTTTCGGCTTGAGGTCACCGGAAAGGTCACACATGAATTCTATTTGAAATTTAAATCAGTCCATAAAATTGCCACCGCATCAAAATCAGATTTACTTGTAAGTCACAGTCCTTTGACTATTAAGTTGTTTCTTCTTTTTGAAGTCATCGATTCGAAAGCAACTTTATGGAGGTTCAAAGTGGAAAGTGAGTATTATTGTCTTGATGTATTGTCAACTTAATAATCGCACTTAGTTCAAATTAAGAGAATAATACTTGTGAACGTTTGTAAGAATCAAGTTGATGATTATTAATAAATTGAATAGAGAATATGCAATAATATTAATTTATGTAAACTTCTATTGAATATAAAGTTCTTCATTCGTCATAATCTATTTGCAGTTTACGTATATTTCAGTTAAAACTATTTATTAGATTTATTAGACCTATGTCCGTGACAAATATATACTATAGTACTTTTTCTGACTAATTTGTTATAACAACATTATAAAACAGTATTATTACATTAGTAGTATCCATAGATTCTCAATCAATATGCAAATAACTTAATTTAAAACGCAAAGCAAACATATTCCTTTTTAACATTGTAAAACTTGCATAAAACAACCATAATACATGTTGCGCGCACACAATATTTTATTCATCATGTTATAGCGATTCCTTCGATAGAATATGAATAAAATTTAACATCGCACCGAAAGACCACACTTGATAATTGTCTAAAGTAGTTTAAATTCAAATTATTCAAAGATGACACACAGTATGCATTTGCATAACATCTTTGTTCGAATTATAAATAATGTTCATTATTTGAATTCAATTCAAATTTCATATATTTGGAAGCTATAAGCAACTGGGTCACACACCACTCAGTCCAGTTGTTATTAAATGAGTTCTGTCCACTTACACAGGGAAGCGATGACGCCGATTCTTGGAAACGACACCGAGGGTATTCCCTTCATTCAAATTGGACATCACGTATTGCGTTTGGATTTGGAGGATCTGGATGATCACTACAAGGAGCGAGCCAAGTGCGAGCTTCGGGAAACGCCGGAGAAGCGAAAGGAATCATTGGACAAATTCAAGAAACTGATAGAAGGTATAACATTTCATTTGAGTGTGATTTGTAATTAGAATTTATGTTTTTTTTTCAGATGAACCTAATCTTGTAATCCCATTAGATGATGATTCTTATTTGTTGAAATTCTTGAGACCGTGCAAATTCTACGAGGAGAGCGCTTTCAAGCGGATGCAGAGGTATTATAGATTTATGGCGAAGAATACTAAATATACATCGAATTTGATGCCGAGCACAGTCGAAACTGTCTACGCGAACGAAATTATCGAATTCTTACCGTTCAGAGTAAAGGGTTCCAGAGTTATGATCTTGAACATTAAAAGTAACTTTTTTTTTCTTCTTCAAATTAACTTGTGGATTAATCTAAGAATGTTATTAGATTGGAATCCAAAAGACGTCGGCGTTCCTCTGCTATTTAAGTCGATAATCATGGCTTTGGAAATTGCTATGATCGAGCCAAGGACTCAAGTTGGAGGCGTGCACGTCATTCTGGATATGGAAGGATTCACAATAAATCACGTTATGCAATTTTCACCGATGGTCGCCAAAATGATAATGGACTTTGTACAGGTAATGTTATTACTTTATAAAGATGTGATTTTAAATTAATTTACACTTTGTATGTAGGATTGCGCTGCGACACGGCTGAAAGGAATCCATGTAGTCAACCAGCCGTACGTTTTCAACATGGCATACCAAATTTTCAAACCTTTCATTGGTCAGAAATTGAAAAGCAGAGTACGTTAAAAGGATTCCTCCATACAAAGTATATTATTAAATTTTCCTTTTTTTTTTAGTTGCATTTCCATGGGAATAAATGGGAAAATTTGGTGGATCTAATACCGAAAGATTTCCTCTTGCAAAAGTACGGAGGTTCGTTGGAATTGAATTTGAACGGAGTTGGTGAATTGCTGGTCGAAGTCTTGAAATATTACGAAGCCGACTACGAAAGTGAGCACTTAAAACTGTTACAAAACACCATTATTAATTGTATTATTTTTTTTAGAATTAACGCATTTTGGTTACGGTAAAGAGTTGCAAGTAGAACAGAAATGATGAGGATCAAATTGTTATTAGAAATTTAAGGTAATTTAGTGAATTCCAATATTTTCATTCAAACATTTATATTTATACCCATTGTTTTTTTTTTAATAAGAAAAATAAATATTGTTTCTATATAAATAACAAATTATATTATTTGCTTAATACATTGTATCAAGTGTATTAATTAATACTTATTTTTTTTTTGCGTTTACGTAAAATACTTCAAGATACACCACTCCTATAAAAAAAATCTTTCTCTAATATAATCTATTAAAAAGTAATTAAAATATTTGTATATATATATATATAAAAAGTTAATTAATTTAAGGGTTTTCGATTTTTTTTGGCAAACTTTGTTTTTTACTTCTTGTATCCGTACGAATTGATTACTGAAAATTTAAAAAAAATAATTAGTTTTTTTTGTTGTTGTGTGTTGAAGATATTGCAATACTTACAGACGTATTCTTTATCACACATCTCCAGTAATTCAAGCCATTGGCTTCCTTTGACTCTGGGTAGATCAAGAGTGCCTCCGTAAACCGAGGAGACGCACGCTGCATCCAAGTACTTGTGCAGCGATTTACGATCCGTGCCGTGGAAAATGATTCTGCTCTTCAGTTTTTCTCTGAGGAAAGGTTTGAAGAGAGCGAAGACCATGTTGAAGATGTACGGTTGATTGACGATGTGGATGTTTTTCACTCTGCATGGGATGGCATCTTGAAGCCAGTCGACAATCCTCTTGGCGAACGGCGGCGTGAACTGCCAGGTCTGCTGCAGACTCAGCCCATCCATGTCGAATATGACGACGGCACCGGCGACTTGGGTCGTGGGCTCCAGCATCGCAGCTTCCAAATACAGCACGACACCTTTGAACACTTCATCCAGTGAACACTTGTTGTGCTTCCATCTCTCTGAGAACAAAACGAGTATCAATCAGTATCAATCGTCGTTTAATCCATCAAGTTGTTTTCACTACATACTTCCTAATTCGATAATTAAAATTCTCCTTCCGTGCTGGTCCCTGTTAGGTTGGACGGTTAGAATGTCATGTTCGAAAATGTTCTTCTCCTTACTAGGCATCAAACCATCGTAAACATTGTGATGCTTCAACTTGAATGCGTAGTAACGTTTCACCTGATTCAAATTAAAACAATTAGACCATTTTCGGCTCATTTAAAACTATAAGTACCAATTCGTATGCACTCTCCGGGTAGAATTTGCAAGGCCTCAAGAACCTCACCAACCATGCATCATTATCGTACGGACATTTCAGATCAGTCTCAGCTACAATGGAACAATGTTTAAGAGCAAAATAAAACGATTCGAAGTGTTCATATGCAAACCTTTCAACATTTCCCTGAGCTTGTCCATAGCCGGCTTGACGTTCTCAGGCGTCTCTCGCAGCTCGTTCTTGGCAACCTCTTCCATTTCTGGCGACAAATCACCCATCTCCAATTCCAACGTGAAGTCGCCTAATTTGATGCTAGGCAATTCATCCAAATCGGACAGCATGGTTTTAGCTACTGCAATGCAATTAGAAAGTCGATCAGAAAAATGCAACATCTCCGAACTGGATCTGCTCGGTTCTTATTATTTTCATAGAAACATCGCATTACGCAATTGTGTAACATAACATTTTTGTAATTCACTTTTAGAAACGCGGAATACACGGATGGAAAAACCATATTAATCACGTTGATTCCAGTCGATGTAATTTCGGTCACAGAACTGTCCGTATATGTAGCATCAATGCTATTAACCTGCACAGTTGCTAAACACTAGTAAACTTGACCTCTTTAAAGTGAAGTAACTTGAATTAGATATGCAGAACGCATAGCTTCTTCTGCAACCTCTTTTTATTTACATTCAATGTTCCTAAATACATATATCTTAGTCACAAACAAAGCGAATTAAGCAATTTATTCATACTTGATGATTTTCAAAGCAATAACCTTTGCTCATTTTAGATTTATGACCTAAGAACACTAATAGTTATCTGACTATGCAGTTTTAAGAGATTTCTCGGTAGAAGTATTAATTGCGAGAGCAAGGTTTGCTCTCTTGCAGATTTCTTGCGATGCATATGAATGCTAGTGTATAAATACTAGACCTTGACTTAGAAAAAGTGTTAGTGACAAAGAATGTATCGTGTCGGCGAGATTACGAAAAAAAAAAAACGAAAAATAATGTCACGTTATTGTTGCATTTGCAATGTAAAATCCAGCCAGCATTTAGTAGTGGCATTATCATGTTTTTGTGTTATGAAATTAAGTGGCATTATTATATTTTATGTTATGACCAATTAGAAATATTAGGAAACCCGTCGCGTGGAACTCAAACAATAAAAAAAAATATGCACCTTTGTTGTATAATTTCTATTAATTATCTAATGAGCAACGTTTTACTATCTATTTTTATTGAATTTCTATTATATTCAATCGTGTGTTTTTTTTATAACAAACTTCAGATAAAAAGCTGACTCGTGTAAACAAATGCTCGTTAATTAAATTAATGTTTTGTTTTTTAGCACATTTAAAAACAAGCGGAAATTACTTGTTTTTTCTTGCGTAATATTTTCAGTCGGGTAAATTAAAAAAAATTTGCTTGTTGCATTGTTATTAAAGTAATTAATAGACTAATTACAGCGTTGTTAAATATAGGTTTATACTAGTTTCCTAGTACTTGTTTTTCAATATAGATTGAATGTTGATAACTTGTGGGTAACTTACGTATCGGCATTTTGCAGGTATCTCTGATTCACTTTCACTGTTCGTTCGTTTGTTTGTTTGTTTGTTTGCGGCGAATGAGCGAGTATGTTGATGGTGATCGAGCGAAAGCGAAACTGACTCGAACCGAAATATGTTTTAACCAGACTTCTGCGGATACCGAAAAAGAAGTGGCAACATGAATGGCTTAACCTTCGCTAGATTTGGATATATATATATACATATTTTGCTGCATGCATTTTACCTGATACTAATTACTTTTGTGGGAGGGATTCGCGGAGCTGATGATGGCTACCACGTGTTTCCAAAGACATAACAGGTCCGTTGAAAACACACGTATTGGGAGAATACCTACGTGTTCCTATGCAAATCAGCAATGTTTGGCGTTTTTATTTTCTTTTTGTCACACTCGTTTCAGAAACGATATCCAATGTTTTCTATTCAGAGACCTTGATACGTTTTTTTTTTATATAATTTTAACTTGGAAATCAGAATATTTTTCCATAAAATCCATCGTAAACTTTAATTATTAATCAATAAGTAATAACAATAATGTATAGCTATAATAACATTTTTGTAATTCACTTTTAGATTTCATTTGCTTTTTTAATTAATTGACTTTTTTGATGATCTCTTTCTCACCTTGAAACATATTAAATGATGCATATAAATCTATGAGAAATAACAAGTAAAAATTATTTTTTTTATTTCTACCTTAATTTTTCCACTTTTTACTCTTGAATCATGTTTAATGAAATAAACAAATTTAAACGAAACGAAAACGTAATTATACAAATAAATCCGTCGGGTGCAAGGATTAAGTGCGATGCACAAACCTGTTCATTTTTATAAATTTATTTATAATTATTTCTTCTTGCAATATTTGCTTTGCATGACCTTTAGTGAATATCGATATGCGTGTGCACAATGTACACCGGATGTTGCACAAATATTTGCTCGTTATCTTGCATTACCAATTCTTTATTCCTCCAATCACAAACGAATGTTGCACATTTCTTCGTTTGATGAAACTGCGAATAATTTCCAATCAAAAATTGTTTTAAATGTCATTTGTTTTATAATGTGTTTACAACTTGTTACCATGACAACAATGTTGAAAAGTTTTGTGATTTTTGTTACGTCACGTAATGTATTTTTTATCTAATTGCATCAAATAATAATAATTGTTATTTTTAAAATAAGTAAATTCATTGCGTTTATTGAAAAAAAAAGCACTTGAATTTTATACAATGATTTGTATCGAATCTGATAAGC